AAGTTTATATATTCTTTTACGTGGAACATTGAAAAAAGGAGCAGATAAGAGAAAAAGGGTGTCAGTTACTATTTGTAGGCAGTGTAGGCTTTTCTGGGTCCTACCTTAATGGTTGGACTGTCAATCTAAAGACAGGGAACGAAACTTTGGCCCTGTTGAAATCATTAGCAAACCTTCTGTTGGGTGTTTTAATGCGCTCACAAGGCAAATAATAGGCAAGGACTCTTATGAAATGCTCTGTTCTTACAAAGCCTGATAGTACATGTGCAAATGAATCTGATACTAATACAAGATAGGCACTATAATAAAGGGGTTATAAATTATAATATTACTGTGGACTGAAGCAAAGAACAAGACTGAGATATTTTGAGGAACTGCAGATCTATGCAAAGTTTAAATGAGATGCAGCAAGTTGAAGAGGAGGTGTGGAATCAGAAGCAAAAGGCAGAATCCATTCAGGCTTGCCTGGCAGAATATGGCAGTAAAAAATAGCACGAACAAACGCTAGCTAAATTGGTAAAAAGGTAATGTATATATTGGGGGTAAAAGAGCACTACAGCAAAATTGGATCCTTCTGTAAAGGAAAGGAAACAAATAGATATTGATGACTGCAATGACACTAAAATAAAATTTAAAAAGTAATCAAAACTTTGCCATACTACAGCATTTAATAAAATTAAGGCATGGAAGATGTGAAAATATACGCATCATCCATTGATGGTCATATATGTCCACTGTGTTTAAGAAGAATATAATGCAACTACAGCAGTGCTGGGGGTTTTTTTGGTAGATGCTAGCAGGTGTGGAGGATTTGGCTATTGATCCCTGCAACGTGAAGAGGTTGATACTTGCCATAATAAGCCTGTCACCCAAAACCTGTCTTTGAAAACCATTGAAACTGATTATAAAGAAAATACTTGAACTTCATAAATGTTAAAGGAGCCTTCAGATAAGGTGATAGTATGTGTTTCTCAACTAACAACTCCTTCAAAATAACTTTTCAAAATGTCGTGGACGAAAGAAACTCCTGCTCTAAAAATGAAACTTGAAGTTTCAAAGAGTGCCGAGGCTGAAAACTGCATGTGTTAAAGTTGGAAAAAGTTATAATTAAATTTTTACCTCCACTGTACAGGACACACAGTACTTGATGAGCAGCTGTTTCTACTTTAAGTGTATGGCTTCAGGTCTTTCTCACTGTACGTTGTTCTGGAGACAAGATTTGCTCTTTTGTCAGAGTTTTTGATGGTATTGATCATGGTCGTATTAAATTCTAAAATCGCTTCTCTGGTGAAGAGGTAATGACTTTTTTTTCATTTTTTTTTTCATTTTTACAGTTGGGAAACTGAGGCATTGCTGTAGGAAGTTTGAGTGGCCTGTTTATTGTGGCTCTGGGTTGAATTTTTTGAAACATAGAGACTGTGAAAACACCTCTCATCAAATTCAAAAGTAATTGCAGTTTTAGATATGCAGCATTTGGGGCAATTTTAAATCCCATAATTTCAAGTCAGGAAATGAGGAATGCATTCAATTGGTTTTGTTGTTGTTTTTTTGTTTTGTTTTTGTTTTCTTTGCTGTGGTGAAAAACTGTGGCAGATGCAGGGGTAGACCCCAGTTCTGCCTTAGTAAGACCATCTTCTGTTTTGTTCGCTACCCCTGTGATAAAGGAGGCGCTTGGCCCTACAGTACCCAGCTGCTCCTTCCCTGTGCTGCTGCCCACTGATCCCTGGATGCCTGTGAGGACAAAAGTGTGACCCTGGATTTAAAGACTGCTAGAGTTGTGTCTCTGAAGGAGACACGTTTTGTGTTGTAAGGGCAAACTTAATTCCCTCAGCTCCAAACTTGCACAGTGGTAACATTTCTTAAACCTGGGGAAGAGCTGGCTGTTTGGTTAGTTTTTGTTGTGCAGAAATATGTTGACAGCCACTGGTTCACTGCTAGATGTCTTCACCTTTAGCTGCACTGCACACGTAGTTGGGGTCTCATCTGAAGCGAGTCAGGAATAGCAGTGGTGAGTTGGTACCCTCTTTAAGGACCAGCCAATGCATGGAATGAGATGTCCTTCTTCACTGGGTCTGTCTTCTCCAACCCTAAAGATGATGAGAGGACTCTACAGTTCATTCTTTGCAAAAAGCCGTGGAGGGAACAGGCAACAGGCAGCCCTGGCAGCCAGGGTAGGTCTCTCTGTAGGTCTCTCTGGGTTGTCCCTGCAATTTGCCTAGGGATGTTTACCACTCTCTCAGTCTGGCCCTCTCATAGTCAGTATCTCCAGTCCTTGATGCGGATACCTGACTTGCAGTGTCCACAAGACATTCTGAAGATGCCCAGGTCCTTTGTTACCCATGCTTGGTGACCACAGACTCATTGATTTCAGTGTTGTGTGGGTCACCTGTGGCCAATGGTGACTGAAGTTACAGCAAAATTTCAGACTTTTTATCCCTCCACCTTTCTGAAGTGGAAGGATGTCACCTGAGGGGAAAAAGCAGCAACTCACCTGGAGAGGACGGGGAGGTGAGGAGAAGGGAAGGAAGGGTGGTGCAGCAGTGAGGCTCACTCCTCTAACACGCATGCACAAAAAGCCTGCACTGCTTAGAGGTCACTAGTCCAGGGGACAGAGACTCTTCGGCCTCTATCTGTGTCACCTCCTGACCTTGTTTCCTCCACTTCAACCCTTCTGTCTTACTTCAGTCTCTGCTGCTGTTTTTACACCATTGTCCCTCTTTCTTTGTCTGGCAAATTGGATACTGCTTCTGTACACCTTGTAACTCCTCTGATGAAGTCTTTCTGCTCAGTTTGTGCTCTGCTGCATCTTCCCTCCATGCTCCTTGTGGTCTGACAGGGGTGCACACCTCGCCTTTCCCCAATGTCCAGTGTCACCCTGGCAAATTAAAATTTTCTGCTCCAAAGCATGGCATTCAAGAGGTATTTTTAAGTGTTTTATATAAGAATATAAACGATGTATTTTTCTGTGACCTCATTCTAAGACATAGCTGAACTGTTTCTGCTGAATTTTCCAGAGAATTTCAGCCTCAGGCATACATATGGCCTGGAAAATTTCAGCCTAAATGCTTGAAGTTTGGCGAAGTTTATATGCACCTGAAAGTAGCCTTAATAATGGGAAGTGTCAGACTGTTTTAGCTGTGTAGCTATCTGCATTGTTTATAATTATACTTAAGTATTGGATGTGGAACAGAAAATGTTACACTTGGAATTAATTAAAATTGAATTTGAGTAAATGTTATTATTGGACTCGAGACTTGGAAATAATACCCTGAAACAGAAGATGGTGGCAATCAGCAGTGCTGCTGATCTTCATGAGAATCTTGTGAAGGAGACTCAAGACTTGCTTTGAACAAGGATTTCTGTTTTGGAAGGTGAATATGACAGGCGATACACAGAATTAACATTAAAACACAAAAATAAACATAGATGGTATTCTAGTCTATAGGAGGAAGTTCAAATTGTCACCTGAGACCCTGTAAGAAGGAATCTCTAGTTCATCTGC